CATTGGGATTTCTTTGCTGAATCAGTGGGTTACAAGCGGTGATACGGACTTCTTCAAGGAGACGCTGTTGCCGATTTATGACTCGGTTGCGAACCTCTTTACGGATTTGCTGAAGCCGAATGGATCATCGTGGACTATCACAAACATGACTGATCCCGTAAGTCTAATCGAGCATTTGATTCGCTTAGAATACTGACGTGACATAGGACGAGTATGCGAATCATATCGACGCTGGTGGCTTCACCATGGCACTTGCTTCGGAGACTTTGATCCAGGCCAACAAGATTCGCCAACAGTTTGGAATGACAGAGAACAAGACCCAGGACGAAATAGCCTCCGACGTGCTGTTCATCAGAGAAAACGGTATAACGTTGGAGTTCACGACTATGAACGGCAGCGCCATTGTGAAGCAGGCTGACGTGGTGCTTATGAGTTTTCCATTGGGTTACAATGATAACTACACTGACCAGAATGGACTCGACGATCTGGACTATGTAAGTTCTCTGACACAAACCATTTAAGCGAATGTTGACTCAATGTCCTGGAAAGTACGCGAACAAGCAGTCTCCAGATGGACCGGCCATGACCTGGGCAATCTACTCCATCGTAGCCGACGAGCTATCACCATCTGGTTGCTCAGCGTATACCTACGCGCAATACTCCTATAAGCCTTATACGCGACCTCCTTTCTACCAGCTTTCCGAACAGTTGGTCGACAACGCTACCACCAATGGTGGCACGCATCCTGCATACCCTTTCCTCACTGGCCACGGAGGCGCTAATCAGGTGACTATCTTTGGATACCTTGGATTACGACTCATTCCTGATCAAGGTCTTCACGTGAATCCGAACCTACCGCCTCAGATTCCGTATCTAAAGTATCGAACCTTCTACTGGCGCGGGTGGCCTATTTCTGCTTGGTCGAACTACACCCATACTGTTATTTCTAGACACCAGACGACCAAGCCTCTTGATGTTGCGGATTCTCGATATGCCAACAAAAGCATTGCGTTGTATGCTGGAAAACAGGGAGACTCTGCACTTCATCATTTGACATTTGACGAGCCAGTTGTTATCAAGAACAGGGAGATAGGCAGTGTCAACACTGTCCACGGCAATCTCGCTCAGTGTCGACCAGTCAAGTCTTCCAACTTGTACGAGCCAGGACAGTTCCCTCTTGCAGCTGTTGACGGAGCTACTTCGACAAAGTGGCAGCCCTCAAAGGCCGCTGAGGTCAGCTCACTGACTGTTTCCCTTGCGAAAAAAGACGTTGGATCGAAGGTCAAGGGCTTCTATTTCGATTGGGCTGATGCACCGCCAGTCAACGTCACAGTTTTGTTCCACAACAAAACTATTGATGATCCGACAAAGGTCTATGGCAAGTCAAGTCATGACTCGGATTATGATGTCGTTGTGTCTATAAAGAAAGTCAAACTCTCGGATGCGTACAACGCAAAGACAGATGATCTGGATGCAGTTGTTATGCCTACGGGAAACACAACTAATGTCACTCTTCCAGAGCCTGTTCCGCTATCTCGGTATGCCACATTGTTGATCGCAGGAAATCAGGCTCTGGACAAAGTTGACCTCAAAGCTGGGAATGGTACGGGCGCTACAGTCGCTGAGTGGGCAATCTTGCACTGAGAGATATCGGATAAAGATTTACAAGGGATGGCGTGCAGGATGGGCATTGGCAGCATTGAAGAAAGCATGTCCACGGCTGCAGCTTAGTCTAGATGTACGATTATGAATTCAGGACCAAGTTCAGGTTGTCAAATACTGTTTGTCTTCCACTACGCTTATCAAGCAACGATGATTGGGATTCGGAATATTAGTGTCAGATAAAGCTCCAGTCGCCGAGAAAGCTACTTCAGTAATTTAATAAAGACAGATCTGTAAATTGAGTAAAGAAGCGAATAGTCTCCAAGTTCTCTCTACTGATTTTAGCTCTCAGCCACAAGTCTCGACTGCAACGCCAAGTCTCCCTTTTCTAGGATACATTTAACAAAAATCAGCAGGCGGCCAAGGCTTGTCACATGCACATGGCCCATTCGGGTTGGCTTTGTTGATTCGGCCATTTCCGAGGTCCTGAAACTGACAAAAGTCGTTGCAGACCTTGTCGCTCGTAGCGCCGTAGCACTGAACCGCGTAGTGGTAGATCCAAGGGTTGTTACCACTCTTGAATCCGTGTTCCTGGCACCACGCAGTCATTGCTCGGTCATCGGCAAACTATAAGATGTCAGGTAAAATCTTTGTGTTGTCTAAGTTAAAACTTACGATACAGTAGCAATGGTGGGTGTCGGTAACCTTGGGAGTCATGTGGTCGTCGCAAGGGAACTGGTCGAACTTGCACGCTGCGTATGAGTCGCCACAGGCAGGAGCGTCATTTGGCCCCTGAGAAGGAGGTGTTTGGCACTGAGGATTGTCAGAAGATTGAGTCGGTAATACAGATAGTAGTGTGTTTCTCACCATCGGCCTAGGGCATGTGTTACCACGAACACTCAGTTTGTTCGCGCGCCAATTGGGATGTTCAAGTTGAGACCTCTGATCCGCAGATACGAGACTCGCAGTAGCGAGAGCAGAGATGAGAGTGAGGAGCTTCATGGTGATGATATTGAACCTTGTCAAGTATGCTTGAGGAACTGACGGATAGTGGCAGGCGACTGGTATATATAGACTGTCCTCTTCCGAAATGAATGAAACTTGGGGCAATTTCTAATGTAGCGGTAAAGGAAGGCAGAGTCTATGGCAAATTAAAAAGTATATTATACGGAAGAATTATTATGCACTTATGGATTAAGGTTCTTAGCTACTGGGATTGACAAAAACTTTGCATCTGCCGATTGACTTGACGTGGACCGGTCCCTCGGTGCCGAAAAGCTTAAATGTCCTGATGGACATCAACACACCGCTTTCCACGTTAGTCACCTGGACTTTGCGGGTCACAGCTTAGATTATCTTACGGCGATCCTGAGGATGAGGATGCCCTAACTTTAGACTATGCCAAGTCCCATTCTAGAGGTTTCACAGACATTCAAACCCGACTGCCGGAATTGCGATAAGAACTTTATAGCACTGGACATTTTCCATGCTAATATCCGTGCATCCCGAGTCTTTGACAGGCGTTAACTTGCTTGATTCAAACTTCCAGGACTAGGATAATATAGAAAAAGATATGTCGGTCTTCCGTGGACGGGGTTTCAATACTGACTGTTGCACGAGTAGCCGAGTTCCGAAATTGCGATGGTTGAGGTCAAATAGGCGCAAAACCCGATGCAATTGGCTGGTCATTTGATAGATTCGTTCAAGTTTCTTTTAACCATTTGAAATGCCGCTATGGCTTCCTTACATGCCGCGCGCACATAAGTCGGCAGATACTTGGTAAATCGCCTCTTAGTCTCTAATTTAGAAAACTCAGAACTTGTCTGGATGCGACGCGGTGTCTCCACAGGATGTCTAGTATGAGAAGAAACTCAAACGCTACCTTTTTTTAGTCTTGCGATCTCGAGATCTCACAATCTGTTAGCCTTACCGAATTTGTTGTCTTTGGTCTGGCGCAAGTCTAAGCAGAGTCAGGATTAGATAGTCAGTGTTTTTTCTGACGTAGAATTCGTAGTGACAACTAAATACGCGACACTAGTCTTATAAATTCTCTTTAAAGTCTAGGCTTAAGTGTCCGGACAGCTTACTCTGCAAGTGATGGCCTTCTGTCTCAGCAGCACCGCTCAATCGACCATGCTTCAAGACCATGTCACTGGGACCTTGTTTGTGTCAACTACCGATATCAATACATGTCAACTCCTGGCTTCATTGACAACGCTTGATATCATACTCATCCTCATATCGTGAGACTGTTGCATCATATTACTTTAGATCAGTTGTGGCAACTTCCTCATCATCTCCGTTGCCAGTTTATTACACATGGCACTAACACCACTCCGTCCCCGAATCCCCACGAGCTGCGGTGAGTGCTTAGGCCCGATTATCTTCTGTAGCTCCTGTTAGTTTACTCTCGCATATCGCAGCAGTATCATGGTGAGCCCTGCGGCAATGAGTGTTGCTAGATCTGCTGTCAAATCTAAGCAGCGAAGAATACCTGTCCCTATTGCTGTTTACCACTTTCTGTGGCGATGGTCTCGGCAGCATGTTGCAATCCAGACGTATCTTTGGCCACACGGGCAACGGAAATATCAGTAGCTGGCGCTTAGTACCGACCAGACATCTGGACCTTGTCCCTCTTTATCTTTCGGGGTTGCTTGGCCTAATTCGACGAAGTCCTCCCAGTCTTTTGTTCGCCTGCAGCGGTCTTTAGTAACGGAATTAGCGCCTGAATCGTAACGGGTGACCAAAACTGTGATATGGATTCTCATCTCTGCCATCTCTTTCTTCTGGAACGAAAGAAGTAAATCTGTCGCAACCGGACTCTCTTTGACCTTGGTTAACCATACTTCTGCTTCATTCCAGTCACAGATTGTTAGCCTGATGCAGCTAAAGGCCTACGATAGCGCTCATAACTTATCACATACCCAAGGGGTTTCTGATTGCCGCAAGGTTCATCACCGTGAGCCGTACCTGATTGAGACGTATCGTTGAGTAGGGCCACTGATGGTGGTATTCGCTTGCTCGGAACAGATCCTTGTGCTTTTTACTATCCATTGCGCTCCTTACACGGTTGCCACGAATATTTTCGAACTCATTACTTCCGCCTGTAGCATAAACGATATCATATATTATGAAGTCAATTTATAACACTGTACCTTACAAGCTCTGAGGCTTAAGGTTATACTTTTAGACTTTTAGGAGGTTATGTCTATGTGACTCTTTACAATCTTTATCTTTATTTCTTTCCTTTATTCCTCTATGTCCCCATCTTGACCTTTCCCTAAACAACATTCTGTCGCGCGACCCAAGTTCGGATTACACTGCCAAGACAATCGTCGACCATCGCGCACTCTTTTACTTCCTATTGCAACCATATCTCATTTCGAAGACGGATTAACATGGACGAGAGCACCGAAAAGCAGGCGGCCGACTTTCTTGCGCGACGCGAGGTGCGTGGAGATGAAGAGAGCCAGGACCCTGATCAGCGCAAGCCCCAGTCACGGACTGGGCTTCAGCCAACAACAGCTACAGGCAATGCCGACTTGGCTGAGCATCTCTCTGCTGAGCCAAAGAGCGAAGCCATTCCTAAGCTGAAGCTTACGTCTGGCAATCTTGCCATGTTGAATCAGCAATCAAGCACCAATGCTTCCAAGAAGAGCAAGTCTGTTTGCTCCGATGCAGCGTCGCATGGTGCCGCCTCTGTCTTAAGCCGAGAGGCTCAAGTCTTCCTTCCACCTCCTCCCGACCCTATCGTCCAGCAAGATGACTGGGCGTTGAAGAAGTATCCTTCTCTTGGTATGTACATGTCTCCCTGGATATAATGGGTTAGTGCTGACTGTTCGTAGCTAGAGTTTCCAAGAAAGGGTGCAGTGCTGATATTGCGTTTGCTGCGCTCAGAGCTATGGGAGATTGCGACTAAAGTGCTAGTAGAGATGCTGGATTGTGTATTATGTTCCACGTTCTATCAACAATTACATCTTGGTCTAAATCTATTCTCTATGGCTATAATATTTCTGCCCACAGGGGCTACCCATTAATCTAGCCAGGCGACTCACCGTGCTTTTATCTAGGGGCCAGGCTCGCGATGCAGGTCCCAGCTGTCGAATCTCAATTGCGGTACATCCAAATCAGCGAGAACATATAAAAAATGTCTCCAGCATCGCCCTCAAGACTTTTGTCTCCATTTCATAGCATGGAGTCAACGAAAGCTAGGCTTCCCCTTACCTTTTATATCTTTATGTTAACATCCTAAATCCTGACAATTTCGTTCTCTTGCTCATTTTCGCTTGGACCACGAGAAACATGACATCAAGCTAAAGTCTGATTGGTAGAGCGCCACCTTTGCAATAATTGGCTGCACAGCCCGGAATATTGGCTGTTCTGCAAGGATCATGAGACTGTTGCCTGCAAAAGTGCACAACCAACAGACAGAGCTGAAAATTACCCCGCTCCGTTGTTTCCAACCAGATTTCTCTCCTTCAAACTCAACAGATAGACTATGTCGCATGTGCAAAGAACCTGAGAGCTATCACTGCTGTTTTCCTGTTCCTCTACTGGCTCTGTTACCTCTTCTGAGGTATCAGAGATCACCCCAGCTAACCGAGATCCAATCGCCGGAGCCTGCCTGCCAAGAGGGAGGAACAGACCGTCAATCTACGCGTCTCAATCTTGAATCACCGACTAGGTAGTCTTGCCTAGTCAACGGCGTCCCAAAATGAACCCTCCGGATGATGCTAGGGCATTAGTCAACACCTCCGACACTCGCGTGAGCTCTGCGAACTCCCACCCGGATCGCCCTAGTGACCGCCGTGGCTTCGAGATAGCTATCATCTGTGCATTGGCCCTTGAAGCAGATGCTATTGAAGCTTTGTTCGATCATCACTGGGAAGACGACGGCCTACCTTTCGATAAGGAGCCAGGCGACCCTAATGCATACTCAACTGGCGTGATCGGTCGTTTTAATGTTGTCCTCGCATACATGCCAGGAATGGGCAAGGTCAATGCCGCTACCGTCGCTGCAAACTGCGGGAAGAGCTTTCCAAGCATCAAGCTTGCTCTCGTTGTCGGCATCTGTGGTGTCGTTCCTTTTACCACTACTGAGGACGAGATCGTGCTAGGCGACGTCATCATCAGTAACGGGGTCATCCAGTATGACTTTGGTCGACAGTTTCCCGAGCGCCTGGTGCGTAAGGATACCTTGCTAGACGTCCCTGGTAGACCCAACCTGGAGATTCGGGGAATCTTGACAAAGCTGCAAGGTCTCCGACACCGTCGTCAATTGAGCGCTAAGATCGAAAGCTTCTTGGATGTTCTCCGTCAGGATCCAGAACTTCATGCTGAATATCCTGGACTTACGGAAGATAAGCTCTTTCAGGCCACATATCGTCATGCTGATGATCAGAAGTCATGTGAACAGGCTAAATGCGAAGGTGACCTGGTTTCACGAAGCCGCCTATCAAGAACGGATAACCCTCCGAAGCCTGCTGTGCACTTTGGTTTGATGGCATCTGCAGATACAGTTATGAAGTCTGGCGAAGACCGTGACCGTATTGCCTTGGCGGAAGACGTTATAGCCTTCGAAATGGAAGGTGCTGGTGTCTGGGATAGCTTCCCATGTGTCATTATTAAAGGCGGTTGTGACTATGCCGATAGCCACAAGAGTAAGGTCTGGCAACGATATGCAGCAGCCACGGCGGCAGCTTGTGCAAAGGCATTTCTGAGCTTCTGGACCCCGTCAGTTACTCAAGGTTCGTAGCTACTAGGTTCGATGGGATGGAATTAATTGTGTTTCAAGATGTCACGTGTCTAACTGCAAACCTGAAGAGACGCTGCTCTCTGGCAGATCGAGAATACTTTGATCCAAGAAAACGGCTCGCTGAAGATCCCGCGATACAGGAAGTGAAAATCGGTAAGGCTAGCTAATATACCGGCTCACAGATCCTCGTCACTAAGACAGGCCTTCAGGACAGACAGTAACTCCATCGCAAACCGGAGAGAATGCGACAACGAGTTAGTACAGCTAGGCCATTAGTCGCTTTGCCCTTATGACTCACGTATGACAGAATCCAGGTCTCACTACCTACCGCTACGGAAGAACAAGAACTTTACAGGTCGTGAGAGGGTGATCGCTGACCTCCGGCGGCTTCTCTTCACTGATCCCGATGGCCAACGAGTCGCTCTTTACGGGTTGGGCGGCGTGGGAAAGACCCAGATCGCCATTGAACTTGCACATATCGTGAAGAAACAAGACCAGGTAGACCAGGTAGACCGCAACTATTCTGTCATATGGATGCCCGCGTTGAGCATGGCAAGTTTCGAACAAGCCTGCACAAAGATGATTAGCGAGTTTGGCATCAAACGAGCTAACGATGAGGACCCCAAAGAAACATTCAGGAGGTTCTTGAACTCCGAGAAAGCCGGAAAGTGGTTTCTCATCATCGATAATGCAGATAAAATCGAGACTCTGTATGGAACGACTGAGGCCCCGGGGGGTATCGACAAGTTCATACCAGAATCCGAGAACGGTTGCATTTTGTATACAACCCGATCTCGTGAAGTTGCCATTAGCGTCGCGCAAAATAATGTCGTTAAGCTGTCAGAAATGGATGACCAGGATGCGAAGGCCCTCTTGCAGGGTTTATTGATCGAAAAAGACCAGATGCAGGACACCGCTCTTGTCGACGAACTTCTACACAAGCTTGCCTATTTACCTCTTGCTATTACCCAAGCTTCAGCATACATGAAAGTCAATGAGATCTCAGTCAAAGAATATCTCCACCTCCTCCAAAGCACCAACCAAGATATGGTGGAGTTGCTGAGTTGTGGCTTCCGTGACAGTACCCACTACGACGCTTCCCAAGGTGCTGTTGCTACGACTTGGATTGTATCCTTCCAACAAATTCGCTCTCTTCATGAAGATGCTGCCACAATCCTTTCATGCACTGCCTGTCTTGAGCCGAAAGCAATACCCCGAGCCTTGATTCCACCACTGGATTCAGAACAAAGAATGACTCGTGCTCTCGGTACTCTCTGTGGATACAGCTTCTTGAGTAAACGAGAAGATGGCGAGACTTTCGACATGCACAGCCTCGTGCACCTCGCAACACAACTATGGAGTGAAGAAGAGGGACTTGAGACCGAGACACGCCAGATGGTATTCTTACATATTGCTGAGGTCTTTCCATACAACGACTGGGAGAAGCGTGAGTTATGGCAGCAGTACATGCCACATACACTAAGACTCGTAACAAACACGGATGGTGCCGAGCCTAGAGGCATATGCCTACTCGGTGATAAGGTTAGCCGATGCTTGGTGATAGACGGACAGACAAGACAGGCAGTGCATATACTTGAGTCTGTAGTTGAGGTCCAGAAGAAAGTCTTGGCAGAAAATGACCCTGATCGATTAACACTAGAGCATGAGCTTGCATTCGCATATCGACGTGATGGGCAGATGAAGCAGGCAATTGAACTGCTCGAGTATGTGGTTGCAATGAGAGCAGACCTAGCAGAGAATAGCCCAAGCCGGCTGACATCACAGCATGAGCTTGCATCGGCATATACCTCTAACGGGCAGACAAAACAGGCAATTGAACTGCTTGAGCATGTGGTTGAAATGAGAGCAGACTTAGCAGAGAATAACCCAGATCGGCTGGCATCACTGTATCAGCTTGCATTGGCATATCACTCTAATGGGCAGATAAAAGAAGCAATTGAACTGCTTGAGCATGTGGTTGCAATAGAAGCAGACTCAGCGGAGAATAACCCAAAGCGGCTGGCATCACAGCATGAGCTTGCATCAGCATATACCTCTAACGGGCGGATAAAAGAGGCAATTAAACTGCTTAAACATATAATTGCAGTCCAGGCGGATATATTAGTAGAAGACCACCCAGATCAGCTAACATCAAAATACTCACTTGGGGTGGTATACCAAGACAACGGGCAAACAAAAGAAGCAATTGAGCTGCTTGAGCATGTGGTTGCAATGGAAACAGACTTAGCAGAGAATAACCCAAGCCGGCTGGCATCAGAAAATTCACTTGGGGTAGCATACCTAGAGAACGGGCAAACAAAAGAGGCAATTGAACTGCTTGAGCATGTGGTTACAGTCCAGGCGCATACATTAGCAGAAGATCACCCAGATCGGCTGGCATCAGAACATTCACTTGGGGTAGCATACCTAGAGAACGGGCAAACAAAAGAGGCAATTGAACTGCTGGAACATGTGGTTACAGTCCGGGCAGTTGTACTACCAGGGGACAATCCTCGGCGGCAGGAATCAATATGGAGCCTGCAGTACTCCTATGATATGTTAGAAAAGGTCAGCGTTTCAGGAGTTTCGGACGGCGGTGAACCTGTTGATGCAATGTAATCAGCTCTCCAGAGCATTACGAACGTGGGAGTTTGGGCAATTTCTTTCGATGACTACTCGGGGTTTGTGGAGCAGCAGTCGTTCATAAATGTGCTTTCATCATTTTTTAATTCTTCCGATCGAAATCATCATTTATGGACTTAGCTGGCGTGGATCCTGACAGATATTGTAATAAACATTTCAATGACAGCTACGAATCATAGCAGGACATAACTGAGACTACATTAGAAAGACCGTCGGTTGAATCAATTGAATGAACTGAATGGCCTAAACCTCAACTATTCTCTCCTTACGACGGCTCTCCAAGATATTGTTGGCGGGTCTCTACAATGATCAAATACACTATAAGTGAGGGAGAAGGATGCGGTATTGCAAAGGCTGTATTCAGGGCAATGATAAGATTATCCCCGATGCTGGAAGCGTTACTGTGAACTGCTAAGGTCTGTCCCAATAAACGAGGTCGGAAAATAGCTGGTATGCTGTAGGATCGAGGAAATGTCATCTGATTTCCAATGAGGACAGTGCTAGACAATAGTTATGAAGATTTCTCGTAATACTACCTTTTTACTCAAAATGGTACCTCGGGAGGAGAACCCACCCAAAAACGCATCACTTTGGTTCAGAAAGAGGCATACGGAACATGGTTGACCGAACGAAACAATCAGTTACTGGTCATTTTGCCTATTATGGCTAATAACAGCTAGAGGGCTATTTAAGACAGCCATCCACTGATAGCAACAAGGAGAACCGACTTGATCAAGTTGATTTCTCTCTCATAAATTAATTCACTGCCATTACCCAATATCAAGAACAAATGGTGTCCACGGTAGTTCGTTTCGCAACCCTCAGCGCTCTCTTCGCATCCAAGGTTTCGGCTCACGGCCATGTATCTGAGGTCCTCATCAACGACAAAAGCTACTACGGCCACGATCCCACCAAAGTTCCCTACGTAACTCAGCCAGAGAGTATCACCTGGTCAAACGGCGCCAAAGATAACGGCTTCGTCACCTCTGCCGCGAGTGCACTGGCGTCTCCAGACATCATCTGCCACCTCAACGCTACCAATGGGCAGCTAACAGCAGACGTCACTGCTGGCACGACCATCACCGTTCGCTGGTCGGACTGGCCCCAAGCTCACTGGGGGCCTGTTCTGGATTACATGGCGCGCTGTCCGAATGACGATTGCACCACTGTGGACAAGACCAAGTTGAAGTTCTTCAAGATCGATGAGTTGGGGCAGCTGACGAGGGGAACTGTGCCTGGCCAACCGGGTTACTGGGCGAATAATAAACTTCGTGATGACGACTTTTCATGGAACATAACGATCCCGGCTAAACTGGCTCCGGGAAGTTATGTCCTTAGACATGAGATTATTGCCCTGCATGCGGGAGGTGCAGAAGGGTCAACTCAGATGTATCCTCAATGTATCAACTTGGTTGTCAAGGGAGATGGCACTGCACAGCCTGAAGGCGTGCTTGCGACGGATCTGTACTCTTCCAAGGACCCGGGGCTACTTCATAATGTTTTTGTGGATGAGTGGAGTGATGCGCAGTACATCATCCCGGGACCTCCGGTAGTAAAGCTTTAGGGCTGTTGATATGTGAATAGTCAGTAGATCAGCATTTGTCAGCCAAGCTTTGTAGCTCGATTTGTGCATCGTGACCCAGCAATGAATCCTTAATTTAATCAAGACTCTGTCTGTCTGCGTGATAATCGCTTCGTAACCCCACGCGTTACCCGATTAGGAAAGCGCGCGCTCTCTGAATTGATGCTTAGTTCGATTCAAGGACACTTATTTATGGATAGTTTCGGACCCCGAATCAAAGGCTATTGGTCCATGTCATCCGTAACATGTATTCGAGGTTACAAATGGTCTGAAAGACTAGACGAACTCTTGGGTATAAAGCTGGCTGGTCTCAGCATTTCTCTCAAAGACAATTTCCTACTCGTCAAACACAACAGCATAAACATAACTTCTCTTGTATTCACCCCCTTATAACCCCGAGACTCAAAATGGTTGTTGTTGCTATCGCTGGGGGAACTGGTGGCATAGGCGGCGCTATCGTCGACACACTTCGCCCAAACCCTCACCATAAGATGATTATTCTGACTCGCAAGGTGAGATGTCTAACGACAACTACAGACCTAGAAACAACCGTCTAATAGCATATAGATCCCCGATGCACCTCACGCGACTGATACCTTTGTCACCCTTGACTACAGTGACGTCGACGCAATGGCAAAGGCCCTCGACGACAACAATGTTCACACTGTTATCTCAGCCCTGCGCGTCTTCGACCCAGCTTCCTCCGACGCAGAGAGCAACCTCGTCAAAGCGACAGCCAAAGCTAAAACCCCCAAACGGTTTATTGCAAGCGCATGGGGCATCCAATATGCCGACGAGTACGCCTTCTCCTCCCAACTTCTGTACAACCATGCTGACCTAGGCCAGGACACCGGTTGGACAAGCTCGAGGACGCACCTTGACGGAACTGCGCACGACAGATCTGGAATGGACCCGTTTCGACAACGGGTTCTTTCTTGATTATTATGGTCCGCCGACGTTCAAATCTTATATGCAGAGGGTTGCGTGGGCTATCGATATCGCGCATAAGAAAGCCGGAATTCCGGGGACAGGAAATGAACCAATGACGTTCACGTATACCTTTGACGTCGCCAAGTTTGTGGTTGCAGCCCTGGATCTGCCCAAGTGGGAGCAATTGATGTATTGCTACGGTGAAAAGACGACGTGGAATAAGGTCCTCAAACAGGCAGAGGATGCTACAGGTAAGACATTCACCCAACACTACCGGTTTCAAGGCTGACAAGATAATAGGCTCCAAGTTCGATGTTTCTTATGATCCTCCCGAGAAACTGAATAAGGGAGAGGTTACTGAACTCCCTTTCAACAGGAACGCAGCCGATCTTCCTCAGAAGGTGCTGGAAGGTCTCATGTCACTCTGGGGACTCTATGTCTTGGAGGGCAAGTATGACATGCCAACGGCCAAGGCTCTAAACAACGTATTCCCAAGCATCCAGCCGTTGAAGGTCGAAGATGTAATGGAAATGTGGCGGTGATGTACTGGATCTAGTAAATAAGACGAAGACTTGACGAGCGACACAGCCTTGGCGTATTAATCAGAGCTCCTTTTGACCCAGTGATTGCAGCCACCTTCTGACGTTAGCCACGAGGAAAGGTTCAGGGATCTGGTGGCGATGTCTGGGTCACAGCAGTGTTTCGGACGCGTGATACGGCGCTTGTGATTTTGGGGCGTGTGTGGAAGAGGAGAGGAAAGCTTGGTGCAGAGTGGAATATGACTGCGTGCTTTGGAATAAATGTGCGATGCTGTGATGTTACTATCAGGTCTGTTTAATGATGCTAAATCTACGGTAAATGATGATGAGACCTGACCATTCATGGATTCCCATAAAACAACTCGCCAATTGGTCCTCACAACATCAGTCAAGTAAACAAGATTAAGTATTAAACCTCAGGAGACTTGTCGGCATCCCCGTCTGTTCCTCCTGTTGTTTGTTCAAAGCCTGAGGAAAGGGTGTCAACACTGGAGAAATATCATCCCCCCATGTATCACCATAGCGCTTATACCAATCAATCGTCGTCTTCAGCCCTTCATCAAAGCCTGTCTTTTGCGTACAACCTAGCATCTTGAGCTTGGTAACCCACAGCGTATCTTTGATGGTTGAGAGGACGGTCGTGAGTATGTTTTACCAGTTATAGAAGTCGTTCGTATCTTAGACGCTAATACTCATCTCGTTGAGAATAATATGGCAGTGCTTGAGATTGGAGATCTCGTCGCTGGACCCGATGTTGTAGATTTGGCCGATCTCGCCTTTGTGAAGAATGTTATCAAAGGCATCAATGGCATCTCGTGCGAATAGGTAACGTCGTGTTGGACTATTGTCTTCATGCAGGATCACCGGCTGAACGGGTGAAGTAGTGAGACGAACTTCGGTATGATCTCTACCATCAAAGCTGTCCTCTCTAAAAACTCCCTTAAACCTCAAGCACGCACAACTCTCCTTCGCAGCCTTTCACTTCACCATCACCGGCCTCGTGCTCTTCATCCTCTCGTGCCACAGATTCTTCTTCACACCTGAATCGCGGAGCTAGACTATAATCTGGCTCTTAAAATTCAACCAGAATTATCAGTCTCAAAGCTTAATCTCATACCATGTCTGTTTATCTATGTTTCCTTCCTCCTCATGAGTGAAGCAACTTTCTCGATTGAAGATAATATGGACCAGGTGGTCCGGCATTTCGCCCGCCTATCGTTGTTATCTACATCATGCTTACGGCGCTCAGATCTACGTCTGTATGTCCACCAAGCACCGAGGACGATGCCTGTGAGTGGGATAGTTAGGATAACCCAGAGCCACCATAGGCTAGAGGTGTCGAAGCCATTGGCATGCTCACGGGCAGAAAATATGCCGGCACTCAGAATACTCTAGATGGTGCCAATTAGCTTGTCCTTTAATTGCTCACGACACAAGTGAGAACTTACAGAGGTAAAGGTACCAGGCAGGAAAATCATAGTCAGACAAGCGATGGCGCTCATACTAGTGCTATCGCGCTTCATACTACGGGCCAATTGAATATTATTGGCGGCATCGCTCTGCGTAACGAGGTTATACACTAGGCCCATAGTGCTGTCTTTCCTTCCCTTATAATTCAAGAAGAGCATCTTATGCTTCTTCATGGAGTCAATCACATAATTGATAGCGTCTTCCGCCGGCTGCCGAAACAAGGTTGGCGTGGAGAGATAGTTTTGCAGCTTGGCTTGTGCGTCGCGGATACCTGTCGCCGTGATAATTGCGACGTCGATGCTAAGTAGCTGCGAATCTGCCTGCTGCGAGATGATCTGGAGAGACTTTGTAAGCTCAGTCAGCTTCCCACGGTCGCTGGTCTCGAGCCCGGCAAGATGATCGTCGACTTTATTGACTTGCTGCCACATATAGCGACGGAATCGTGCCAGGTAAAA